AGTAATAGAATACTTTGCCTTGAGGTAGAAGAGAAATAGTCTAAACTTGAAGTAGACTTTAAAAGTGGTCTGATTAGTGGATTTTAAATGATCAGGGGCTTGACTTTCTGCTAAAAGACGGTGCTTGATTGAAGATACTACTTCTTTGAGAAGCATCATATCACCAGATTTACTTTATGGATCTCGATTTTCATCAGCTTGCACACAATTGAGTTAGTTGTATTCCATTAAGCTGAATTCAGAACCCTTCAGTGATCAGGTGAGGTTTGAAATGATAACCTAACCAGGTATCAAAAACTCATGACTCCCTGATTGATAGTTCTTATCAAGAAGAATGTATTGGGCACATTCTTGGCCAATAAACAATGGAAGAACATGCAAGTTATATGAGATGTGTAAGTAACATTTTTGGGGATTTCTCCTGCGCTGGGATACTACCGCTGTTTACTGTTTGGGGGCTATGTTTGTTTGGAAAACCATACTTTAATAAAATCAACATATGTTGAATGCTAGAAATCTGAAATAAAAACAGAAAATGTTGCAAATACCAAGCAGGTCAGGCAGCATCTGTGGAGAGAGAAAAACAAAGATAAAGGGCTGTATCTTGACCTCAATGACGTGGTCGATGGTGAGAAATGTGGAAAAATTGTGAGAAAAGTCCAGCGAGGCCTATGTCAATGTTGAGAACAGCTCACTGCATCTTCTAAATAAGTTCTGGAGTGTCAGAATTCTTGCTAGGTAGCATTGAGTTGTCTATTAATGGGGATTATTGCTTGTTAATTAACTCACCTCATTAATGTGTAGATTTTACCTCATGGCACATTCCCAATCCACATACAGTAGGTTTCAATGTTGCACATCAGGATCCAACAGCAACTATCATTGCAATGCTGCAGCAAGGACATATGCCCAGCTCATGGACTAGACCAAGCTGCATGTTGGGTCTGTTTGTATGGTCACTTACTATTCACTCACTTTGAGACCACCAGGATGTTCACAGTATCCTTGCCTTGTTGTTTTGCACAATGACCCTCAGCGAGAGCTACCAGGCTCAATGCCAGTGCTGTTGCGTGGCCTTGCTGTTTAGCACAGAGCAAAAGCCAGGAAACTGATCATGGTTGTCAGCAGGCCTTAGTAAAGTCAAGACAGATGGCCTTCAGTTGCTGATCCCAGCACAGTAAGTCAAGGACAGCCTTCGGCACCAGTTTAAGGGCTTGGATGCAATCAATCAGTCAGCACTCATGGTGGTCAGAGTCGGGATTCTCTTCTCTTAAGGGGTGAGAAGCTAAATGTTGGGCAGCCCACCGCCTATCTTGATTCTTATTTACTGTCCTATTGTGGGCTCTTTTCCCTGTGGAATGAGAAAATGGTGGGTATTGAGAGAAATGAAGTTGGGTGGTGCGGATGTTACTTTTGGTGCACAGGGAAATGTGTCCAAAGCGAGTGAATAGACAGTGCAGTGTTAGTGGTGTCGGGGTTTGAGGTGGGTGATACGAGTCAGGGAAAATAGTGCATTAAATTATCGGAGTGGTAGAGCAGGTTTAGTGAGACTTGGATACAGTAGTGGAAACAGAGTGAGTGTAAGGCATCAGAAGGAAGATAATTGCATTTATTCTGGCAGAATGGAGAAAGTCATTGACCTCCTTTCACTGTCTGCATTCCTTCAGACATCCGAGACTGCAGTGACCCCTGTGGCAACCACAAACTAGGCTAGTATGGTCTGGTGTCATGGCATCCCCCGACGGTCCTGAGGGAGAATGATGTTTTGTCTCTGCACCACCCTGTCCATGATCTCCAGGTTCTTGTCTGCAAATCAAGACACCAATTTTGCCTTTGCTACCATATCTGGAGCAAAAGTCAAGAACTGTGCAGGGCTGCTTTGAACTACCAGTACTTCTCTGGGTGCACAAAAGCCTTTCAAAGATGGTACCAGTGCCAGGGATGCCAGTCATGCATACAGCAAGTGCTAGAATGGAGCTTGAATCAGATGAGAGGAGCAAATAAGGGGCAGGATAGGTAGTTAATGAGACGAGTTGGGTCAGATGCAGCAGATTGTAAGACTCAACCCAATATTTCAGATTGTCAGGAGAGATCATAGGATTGTCCTGCAGCAGCTCCACCTTAAGAGGTAAATGCTTCAGCAGAATGCAGGAGAACGTGATGGCACATCAATGTGGAGGCACCCTTAAAAGAAACATGAAATGATCAAAACTTTTCTGACCAAAGTTGCCAGGTGGAGGGGGAGGTGCTCTCTGCAGGATGGTATATGGCTGAAGCTCTGAGACTGTGATAGAAGTGGCTTTGGGACAGAGGGAGCTGAAGAAAGGAGGCTTCAGTTACAGCGTGTGACTTTTATCACTGGCGAGTACCAAGAAGCATCCCCAACTTGGCTCCAAGTGACCAGTTAATTTCCACTAATACAATCACACTGCCCAATCCTGGCAGGTGGCTATTTACATTGCTTACTCACATCCAGCAAGTGACCCTACCTGGGGGCCTGTCAGCCTTTCATCTCAATAACAACCTTTCAGATTTCTATCCAGGTTCAGCCCCGTCTCTATGATTCTCATGTGCTTTTCTCCTGAGTGTGAATTGTTACCACGGAAGGAGTTTATTTGATAACTTGAATCATTAACTCTGTTTCTCTCTCCCCAGATGCTGTCAGACCTTCTAAGTGTTTCCAGGGTTTTTTTTATTTTTATTACCTTTTTTTATATGCTTTGGCAACTGGCCAATCAAGATCTCTGTTTAACAATGCCCAATATGCCCACACACGATTTGTTTAGCGTGCAATTTTTTGAAGTATATATGTATGTAATATATATCAGGATGGTCAACAGTAATGTAATGTAAAAAGCCTTTAAAGGTCATAAATATTTATACTACTGAAAGAACAGCTGCAACAGCTTAAATATTCAGTTCTTTTTTGTAAATGTCAAATCTTTTAGGCTAAATGAGACAATTATTCAAAGAAAGATAAAAACGGCACTTATATAATATGAAGTGGCTTTAGTCTCGGTTGCTTTATATTAAGAAATAGAGAAAAAAATCAAATATATTAATTTCACTTAGAAGTGTACAAAGACCATACAAACTTGAAGATTTGTTTTAAATTAAAATTTTAGTCAATATAGCTCAGCGATGAGTCTAAATATTAGAAACCAGTTACTTTTGAGAACATCACATCCTGTGTTTACATTTAATAAGCCCAGGTCAATTGGCAAAGTAAGCAAATAGTAGGATTATATTCCAAACATTGTTTCAACTATGAAAATGCATGTTTGGTGTAAGCATACACATATGTGCTATACCTGAAGAATACTCCGTGCAGTAGAAAAGTATATATATTGGTGTTTTGATGCTAGGACCACGTATTAGGCGACAGTTAAATAGCAAATCAAATAACACATGAAAGGCAATTAACTTCCAAATGGTACAGGATCTTAAGTTTTCACTAGTGATAAAGAAAACACTTAGACATTCTTATACATTATGTAACTTGACAACTCTCTATTTTCTGTCTTCCAACAGAATTTAAAAAGCTAGGAAAGACGTCAACACATTTGAGATGGTGTACAGGCAAATTATTAAATTGGTCTCACAGTTATATAATGAGGGTTTCTCCTTGAGAAGATTAAGGAGAGATTTAGTAGAGGTGTTCAAAACGTTGAAGTAATTTTGATACAGTAAATTAGAAGTTATTTCCAGTTTTAGAAGCATCAGGAAAGAAAAGGATTTAAGGTCTTTGGCAAAAGGACCACAGTCAATTTAAGAGGATAAAATAAGTAGCTAGCTTTTATGATCTAGAGTGCACTAAATGAAAGGGTGGTGAAACAGATTCTTTTAGAACTTTTCAAAATTTAATTGTATAAGTGCATGAAAAAGTAGTATTTCCTGAACTTTGGAGATAGAGCAATAGAATGGGATTAATGGGATTCAAATGACAATAGGCCAAATGACGACCTGTGTTGTAGATTCCGTGAACTGACAAACTAATCTTCCCCGCTAATGAGTTTCCGTACATTGTTACATAGATACATTCTGAGGCTGGGTTTTCTCTCTGGAACAGTTAATGCATTTTACCTATGCCTGCATCAAGTTTTAAATCAGGAACCTAATAATCAAACCTAACTTAACTGTACAATCTTGCTGAGTAGCTGACAGTTATAAGAATAACAATGTTGTTAATCAGCCAGCGTTACGGAAAACTTTGGTCCTGAAGGGTTAACAAAACATCCTAAAGAGCTGGTCATAAGCTAGCTAACTCCTGAGAGAAATATCGAATCCCACATGTGGGAAAATTGGTGTCATGCCCCCATGAGTCAAAAATCTATGTGACACAGGAGTGTGGGAATGGAAGGGAAAAACTGCATCATGACAGTAAGTGGAGAGAAGTTGGGATTTATATAGAACATGAAATGGATAAGTGTAAAACTGAAGATGGATGGTGAAAGACTAGTGATTTACTAAGCTGATGTTGTCTAGGTTAACTCCGAATGTGTGATCAATTGAACACCAGTTAATAATTGAAAACTAAAGCTGATTATTCATGAATATTAAATAAAAACCAAAACTGCAAATGCTGTAAATCAGAAACAAAGACTGAGAGGAAGGGTCACCATACCCAAAATGTTAGCTCTGATTTCTCTCCACAGATGCTGCCAGACCTGCTGAGCTTTTTCAGCAATTTCAGGAATATTGTTTGATCTGAAATGCAAACTATTTTATATTCAATTTTATTATCTGATTGAAATATTGTGCTTAGTTCTTAATAAATTAATATTCAACCTGTCCTTCATTTCATGCGTATGGATAAAATGTGACTGAATTATTGACTCTGTCCCAGATATTTTAACATGTGACCTCAGAGTTGGCACTGCTGTTCAATTGAATAGTACAGTAAACATAATTATCTTCCTTCACAACACTAATTAGATCTATATTGTTCTTCCCAGTTTGACTAGGAGTGGAAATTTAGCATTTTCCTTTTTTATTAAAAGGTGTGCCCAATCACAGTCGTGCATTATTGAGCAAGGAACCGGGACTAAGATGGCAGTCAACATACATCGCCAGGTCAAAAGGTCATCAAGTTTGAAACTCTGGGAACAAAGATCCAACTAAAAGCTTAACTTCATTTTTCCACAATCTGCCCTCACCCTCTTAAAACCTAAGCTGTTGTTATTTTTGAACAGGAAGCTGATTTTAATATAACACATAACAGATTGCATTTTAAGTGAATTAAACATTAATTTTTGTAGTGTCTTTACAGATAATGATTTTACTTATAAAGTGGTTCAAGTACATGGCAAGGTTCTCTTATTGTTGCAAATATTGTGTCTCACAATGCTTAAGAAATAAGAGAAATTAAAATGTGGTTCTAATTAATATCAATAACAGGAGGCATACATCAATTAGGTTAAATTGTAGGAGACAGTGTTTTTAAATTATCAAATTATTTATTCTCAGTCATCCAATATTTATGTTGCAGAATTTTATTTGGCTCTATAGTTATTTGATGAATAATTTACATAACTGCATAAATTGGTTAGTGTCAAAAATAAGTGTGCTTTGATAATATGTTATCCCAAAGGTTGAATTTACTCTGTTTTGCAGTTTTATTTTCTGAATGATTATAGCAGTGGAAACTTGTTGGACCTTGAGGAATATTTCTGTTTCTCACGGTTACACAGGAAAAGTTTAAAAAAAAAAGTTGCTTTTTGAGGTCTCTTCACTGCTTCCTTCCATTAATAGCCCCTAATAAAAAAATATACAATCAGGTCCTAATGGCATCACCCATGCATATGTTAAGGAGGATTGGCCAATTCCACAGTTGGAAAATGAAATGGACAATATTAATTACTCATCTGTCTGGTTTCCACAAGGCAAGTAGAACTCAAATAACTCCTTTTCTCTTGTGTCTGCGACGTAATTTAAATTTCCCCTTTTCTACGTTCAATGGGGTGCATTTTCACCTTCATGATTATTGAGTCTATAAGAGGAGTTAAGAATTATTCAACAATGTTGTAAACACTGGATAGTTTGTAGATTTGGTTGATGCCAGGTGGCTAATAGGAGATTTTCTATTAAAAGGAGACATTGACAGCAGTTTATTTTTTGTTTAAAATTCCCCAAACACCAACTGAATCTCTTTCAATAGTGATCATACTTAACAACTGAAAAACTAAACTTCCCCATTGTAGGCCTCTACAATGAACAATGGAGAATGAGGCCTCACATGTGAATCAGCCAGAGGTGCAGTGCTGCATCTCTGGTCAGTTGTGAGTCTGAGATGAAGCACTGTAGCTCTGGAGGATGAACACTGCAGCAATGGGAACGGCCTTGAACATAGAGCAGAATATCACCACATAGAATGAAGGTAATGTGTAGACTTCTTTTGTTGCATTTATAAAGTGCACTTGGTGTAGTTGGCAAGCTTTCCATTTTTGCTTCAGCCAAAGATTCTGACATTAGTGTCATCAAAGGTATATTTATTGTTGAATATCAAAATAAAGGGCATATTTGAAGTTGTAGCCCTATTGAACAACTTTATTCAGAATTTTAATTCTGTAATTAAAAATAACAGTTATCATTGTGTGGTATTGCCAAATATACAACTTGGAAATTGCATTTAAAAAGAAATACACAATTTGGTGATACAAGCTACATATTCTTTTGATCGTAAGCTTCTAAAAGTTTAAGCATTGTTTTGTTTTAGAACTATTCATGCTAAGCAAAAATGGCCCCTTTTTTGTCATATACAAACTCATTAAAATAAATATATCCAAACAACAGTCAGATTTCATTAGTACAAACCCATGGGAACTTGAAAAATATTCCTTATCAGAAGGTCATCTTCTCATGGTTCAAGCTCTTTTCCTGTCCATAATTGAGCTTCTGCTGGGACACCAGAAAACATTTGCTCTGGAAGATATTTGCAGAAAGAATTTGCAAGAATGAGTCTATACTGTATATTTTACTAACATCGCTTTTAATGTTCAGAGAACGTGAATGCAATATAATGTGTTCTGTGAGGTTACCATCATTGCATTCTAAAAACTGCCAGGCTGTTTAACTTAAAAAGGATGTCAAACACTATTGTTATGTGAGACAACAATCTGCAGCAATCGATCCTGAATGTTATTCTTCCCACAGTATCATTGAATTGCACATTGTTCATCTCTTGAATTAATATTGATGTAGCTGCAATGTCACAGAATTTAAGCATTACAATAGGATTGTTAACCAATCAGGATCAATTCTTAGAGATGTCAAATATTGAGTTGTAGAATTATTTGGAGCACATCTGTAAGTATAAAGGATCGCCTTTCTAATGATGCCACGCCCAATCCATTTCCTAACCTCATTCCAGGAATCCCATAACTCAGGCTATTTTTGTACAGCACCCTAAAGAAAGAAAATAATATGTATAAGAAAACACTGTCCTAGACATTCCCATTATCATACAGTCATTTCTGCAGAACAGACTAGAGTTGCACATCATCATCATGCAGCATTCCCAATGTAGCTGACTTCCAAGGGAATCATCCAGAAAATTGAAAATTATGATGGGCAATTCTCCGGATCTAAACAAAACTGCTAAAAGTCAGAGACTTCCTCAGGTTCCAACTCAAGCTTACATGTTACCCTGAATAAGCTGGATTGAAACCCTACTCTAATTCCTAGCTAACTATGAAAGTGAAACCCCGGACTACCTTTGACCATTCCACCCACAACTTGAACTCCCCTTGACCCCTTACACACATCTCTGACCCATGATACCCATTCCCAGCCAGATTTTACCCCTCCATCATACCCGATGGACCTATACAACCTGACGCCAAGCCGACCCTGACCCAACCCTGACCTCCTCCCACCAAACCTGATACTTCCGCCGTGACACCACACCCACCCCAATCCCCTACCCAGACACAACCGTGTCCCTCCTGACCCAACACCAACCAGAAAGCACTCCCTGAATACCATCAACCCCACAGGAGCAAACCTGATCCAATCTAAACCTGACAGACTAAACAGACACCACGCCAGTCTGACCCCATTGAAGCTGATAGCCACTAATCTCTGACCCAACAACCCCAGCATTAGTCCCCATTCTCTGGCTCAAATTTCCCAGCCTGGTTTTGTTTCACTCCTGGACTCAATCCTGGAGCACAGCAAATGCCATAAGGAAGGGTTGTATCTTAGCCTATAATGCTCATCCTGCACTGAGTGGCTTTTTTCCTGGATTCCAGGTCAGGCCAATCTCAGAATTCAGGCAAAAAAAGTCATTGTTAGGTAAGTGCGCAACTTTAATGTAAATTACAATCTGCCAGATCTGTTCTGCAGGTAATTAGAATTTCTGGGCCATTGTTGTGCTTTATAATTTCATTAGGATTAACACTGATTGAAGGTAGAAAAATTAACATATGATAATCATACATATTAATAACCAGAGATAGTAGGAACTGCAGATGCTGGAGAATCTGAGAT